GGGAAAGAAAAAAAATTCACAAGCAGGGTGGTAAGAAGAGGCCCTGCTCAAGCCTCTGCATCTGATTGTGAACCCAAGATTTGATCTCATTTCTGCAAGACAATAGAACATCTGTTGTGTTCAGCCTTCCTGATAATTACTACCTAATTTTTCCCTGTTGTCTTTCAAATTTCCATGCCATTTTCTTTGGAGTGGCAGAGTCCTTGCTAGCTGTCATTTTTCTATCCTGATCATTTCTTTGCTGAGCTGCTTATAAGTGCAACATCTCAGTAACTTTTCATGCACCAGCTTCCAGGTTCACACATTTTCCCCTTCAAAAACACCAAGAGAACAGGTGCTGCATTCCAGGAAATAAATTGTGGAAATCACCCAGAAGTTGATCTTGCAGGACACGCTGCTTTTCTTTGCTAATATTCTTTTAGAGCATCGTTGTTTTCTTGATAGACTGTTCTTGCAGATGTTTGCTGCCTGGGGGAAGGAGGGGAGGAAGGTATTTTGTTGCCTGCAAGTTGTAAACATATGCTCATCCTGCCTCCTGCAGAAACCCACTGGGGCCAAAAAATTATTTTCTGTAATCCAATAGTTGTCAGGGGACCTTGGTAGCCTTTTGCTGCACGTGTGGATTGGTCTTTGAAAGGAAGAAAATAATTGTGTCACAAATTTAACCAGCTTTTTCTCTGTTTAGGATTTGCTTCCTGAATTGGGATCGAAGCTGAATCTGAAACAGGTGACAATTTTAGTTGATGTTTTGTGTGTTAAAGTTGTTTTTGAACAGAGACCTCGGAAGAGTTTGTTGACAGCATCGTTTCTGCTCCCCTTCTCATTAAGGCAGCAACACAAATGTTCTTCCTTTAGAATAATTTCTTTCTTTCCTTCTTAATCCATTTACAACCCTATTAAGAACCCAGAAGTTGCCAGGACCAGGCAACAGACTGAAAGGCAAAAGTGTCTGTGTGTTCTGAGCTGAGAGGAGGCCCTTCATGCTCAGAAACTCCAGTTTCTGAGCTGAATGTCACTTAGATATGTCTGGAACAGATAAAGGATGGTTGGTAGTGAAAGCATCCCAGAGCTGTCTCTTGAGATGGGAGGAGCAGATGGCTGAACTGGGAGTCCCAGCTCATGGTTTTGTTTATTGCTTGGTGACCATGAGGCTGTAGTTGGAGGTGTGGGTATCTAGTGGTATTTTTTTATGCACTTCAGAGGACCCAGGTTGGGGCAACTGAATTGTCAGAAGAAAGAGCATGAACACCTGTGGAATGGGTATCTCAGCCTGCTTCACAGAGGGAGCCCAGAATGTGGGGTACCAGTTTTAAATGGGGGAGACAAAGCCTGGGCAGAGAGGAGGATCTTGGAGGAGCAGATGCTTTGCTTGTGTTGGTGTTTCCACCACTGTTCACCAAACCATACCTTTAAGCAGCATGACCACTGAATGCTTGATTCCAGGCCTCGTAAGCTGCTTGCCTTGTGTGTGCACACAGGTGCTGCTGCTGCTGTCAAGTGCTCTTTTCCATGTCAGTGCCCAGCAGTTCTGCAGCGTGGTGCTGATGTGCTCTGTGGGCTGCGCTGTAGGAGCTCCTGGCCTAAGAACATCCTGTGTTCAACTCTTGGGGCCAGGCAGGTGGCAGTTGATGGTTTTTAGTCATCTGGGATTGCTCAGCAGGCTCAGACCCTCTGAAATGCAGAAAACTCTAAGAAAGGGCAGGTCCTGATGGAGATGGTGATGGGGATTTTGTCTCCTTGGGGGAAAAATTAAAAAGAGGATGGAGCATAGTGAAATGGAGCTCTCCATGTGCTGTCAAGTTCTGCTGTCACCTGTCTGACCTTAGAAGGTGCTTCCATTGAGGACCCTCTCCAGAGGGGTGCCCGGGTGTGCACAGGCAGACTGAAAGGGTGAAGTCTGTGTGTGCAAGCTTGGCCTTGGTTAAATATCCCCTGTGGGACATCTCCTTGAGTAAGGAGGCCATTGACTCCATTGGACTTCTTCTGTAGAGGGTTTCCTGCTCAGGGAGGTAGAAAGTGAAAGACTATTGTGCAGTGCATTCATGTTGTGTTTGACTGGTTGAATTTGTGCTGCTGGCAGGACCACAGGGGCTGAAGATGTCTGCTCCAGCTGCCCACCACAGCCTGCAGAAGTATCTGTCCTGGGCTCAGGTCCCCAGCAGACCTCTCTCCATCAGAAGACCAGCTCTCAAAACTGGTGTGAGCTGCCCTGTTCTGTGTCAGCTTCTGTGACTCCCACCCCCTGGAGCAACTCAGTCCAGGAGGGAGTGGGGATGAGGAGTGGGGTGTCCCCTGAGCTGGCAGCTCCTGTGCCTCTGGGTGGTGCTGGCTCTGAAGCCCAAACCATGCAGGTTTGTAGCTAGGTCCAGCTTGGGCTGCCTGAGCCCATGGGGTGTCGTGCAGGTCTGTGGCCTCACACCAACTGGTGCTGTTGTCATCAAGGCAGACTGGAATTGCTCTTCTAAATGGGCATGTGTTAATCTGCAGATCAAAGGGCCTTGATAGGTGGCTCAGCTGTGCAGCTTGACTGGGTTGCATTCAGAGCAGAGCCCTGTTGCTTCAAGGTGAGGCTGAGGCCAAGGCCAGGGTTCCCTGGCAGCTGCTGTGAAGTGCAGCACGGAAACCTGCAATTGGGCAGCAGTGGAGGAAGGGGAGATCAGCCCTCCTGGAGCTCCTGCAGGCACTGTCATCTCCTTGTGATACACCTTTTATAGCAGTCTGGTACTTCTTGCTTAAATACCATTCACCAGGTGTTAGAGGCAGATCCCCTGGGAGCTCCAAGGCAGCACCTCAGTACAAACCTCCTCACCCCTCTGCATCCAGCTGGTCCAGGGAGGGGAGAGATTTGCTCTGGGACAGCTGCTGTGCTGCCTGGTGACAGTGGTGGTTAGTTTAGTCCTCCTGGCTAGTTGGCTTTGGTCTCAAGCTTGTACTATGCCAGAGATGAAAGTCCTTTTAAAAGAAGAGAAATGCAACAGCTTGTTTGTGGAAGCTGGAGGTGCTGTCAGGTGTCAAGAGGGAACAGCACTCCTGGGATGCCCTTCAGAGCAGCCCTGCTCCAAAGCAGGACCTGCAGCACCTTTGCCAGTGTCCTTGCACCAACATCAGGATGGAGTTCTGGTCTGCTGTCTCTTTGGTTGTTACTAGCTTGGTAATGGAAATGCTTTGGTAATGGAAACACCTCTTAATTGCTCGGCTGTGGGAAGAACTCCATGTGCAGTCTGTCAAGCCAACATGGGGTTTAATTAGTAAGGTTTGTTCTGTATATTTGCTTTTGGAATTAAAAAAAGGGAGGATATTCTGTCTCTTGCCATTTTTAGTAACCTCTCCCTGCTGTTATAGGGGACTTCTGTGCCAATAATAGAAACATGGTCAATCCCATTCAAATGTAGACAGCACTGGAGTTTAATTTTTATCAACACATAAAATACTGTGTTCTTGTCCCAGTCTAAGTACTCTGAGTGACTATTTTTCTCACAATGGTGTCAGATATTGATGTGGTCCTGTTTTTTCTGTTTCCAGACAAAAGCATCTCTAGAAGCCTTGGCTTGAGCCTTGGAATAGCTGTCTTAAACTTTTTGACTATTCTTTGTAGTGCCCACTGTGAAATGGTGACTTTATAGCTTTTTTGTGTAGAATGAGCTGATCCCACATGAGAAGCTGTGAGAAATGAAGACATTAACTATGTGGTTTGTTTCTCTAGTATTTTTGGTCCTTTCTTGGCTTCCAGTGATGCACACATGGTGGTTAGGACAGTGTGGGAACACAGGTTGCTCGTGCTGCATCCTGGAGTTGCCTTTGCATGGGATTCTCCTCACTGAACTTCTCTAAATCTGTAGACTAAGACAAAGCTGTGCTTGACTGTTCAAAATTTAAGTCTAACTGGGAAAAAAAGAGATAGACTGTGGCTGTTTTGGACAGGGATAACACACTAGTGGGGTTTATTTAAGGTCAGGAATAGTGCTTCTTGTCTCTGATGGTGCTGTTTGCAGTGGAGCCCATGTAGGTCTTAGATGAAAGCCCCTCTGCTCCCTTGAATGTTTGTTGGTTTAAGTGGAGGAGGATGATCTTCATCCTGTTTCTGAGCAGAGGAGTCTGCTCAGTTAAAAATGTGGACAGCTCAAAGTCCATGTGCCCTTGTTAGCAGTGTCAGCAGAGCAGCCCATGCCCAGCAGGGCTCTGCGCCCCTGCATCCCCTTCCCAGCTGGACCCTTCTGCTCCAGCATTGCCAGTCTGGCATTTCCCACCTTTAGCAGGGTACTCTGGATCCTCAGGAAGTGAAGCAGGAAGGTGTTAGGATCTCCTCATCCACAGCAAAGTAGATGTTGAGCAGTGATCAGCTCTGAAGCATCTGCTCTGCCCAGCCCCTTGGTGCTTTGCCAGCAGGAGGGTCCTGTGCTGGGGGAAGGCAGGAGAGGCAGTGAAAGAGTAGCAGGAGTTTGCTAGGGTGGACACTGGGCTGTGAGCAGCTCTATAGGTACCTGCTTGGTGCTGTGCCTTGTGTGAGGAACAGGGAGGGCAGGAGGGACCCATCCGTCATGAAAGTGGAAGGAGGTGGCATGTGACAGGAGCTTTAATCAGCTGTGCCAGTGACCACATAGCCCATGGAGGTGGCTTAGAGCTGGGTCCTACCAAACCTGGGCTGGGGCATGGGGTGGCAGGGCTGGAGGTGGCTGCTCTGCCTGCTCTGCCTCTTTTGGAGGAGAAACCTTGGTCTGAGATTTGCCTTGGAACAGCCTTTTCTCAAGCAGGAGACTGCCTGGAGCTGAGCTTGAGAAGTCCTCTGATGGTGGCAGGTGGATCTGTGAGCTTTGTGTTCAGTGGGATCACTGGTATTTTTTGTTTCCATTTTGCTTTGAGAGGACTCTGTCGTGCCCCAAGTTGCCTTTGCCTCAACCAGCTCTTAGCCAGTCTGATGGGATTTTAGGGAAGAAGTAATTTCCCAGCAGACCAATGTGCTGGATTAGCAAAACCTCTTTTCTGGGAGTGTTTAAATTTGGAGCAGGTAGAGCAGAGCATAAAAGCTCAGTGTAGGAGACCAGGACGAGCTGTACTGGCTGGCTCAAGTCCAGGAACTGGTGGAATTCAGAGGCATTAGACATGGGAAAAGAATAAAGCTTCATCCACTAAACACTCTACTTGTTGGTAAGGTTAAAGTTATAAGAAGAGAAAAATGTAACTGTTTTATTGAGCTAAGAATGAAGAAAGATGGTGAGAAAATGAGCAGAAGAGCTTTCAAAACTTTGCTGATCCTATTACAATCTTTAGATTTAGAATTTTATGTATCCATACACACACACATGAGTGAGAGATAGGTGAGTTCTGCTGCTGGCCTGCTCAGCTTCCTGTGCTGTCAGGCTTCCTGAGAGATCTGGTCAGGAATTCTTGTTCTTTAGCATTGCTGTATATACCTCCAAGTAATAATCCAGCTCTCAGAAGGCTTAATTTGATTTAAAACACTATTTTACTGGAATTGCCATGAAAAAGTCACATTGAACAGTTGTCATGTAGCCCTATTGAAGATTTTGAATTTATTTCCATATTATAATTACAGGTGAGGAGGAAAAAAACCAAACAACACACCAAAAACAAGCTAAAAGATATCAGTTTTTCATTTAAAATGTGATGATGTTCTTCCACACAGTCTGACATGGTCTGACTGTGAATTCCTGGTGTTTGGGAATGACAGCAGGTTTTATCAGAGACCACTTGCAAGAACCTGCACTTAAAAGGACAAAAAACTGCAGCTCTTCCATACACATGATGCAGGCAGCTCTGCATCAGATCTGCCTCTCCCAAGCTCATTTTTCTAATTTTGAATTAAAATTCGAAAGCAGTGGATGTTCCAGGGGACTTGGGAGTTCTCAGAATAATCGTGTAGCCAAGAGTTACCATTAACCTTTAGATCTATAACCTGGGGACTTTTAAGAGGTATAAATAGTATTGTTGAGCCTATTATTGGCACAGTGTCTCCAGCACTCCTGACGTATGTTTTATAAGGAGTGGAACAACTGGGAGCAGTCTGAGGAGTGATCCAGTGATCAGAAAATGCTATGGACACATAATTTGCTCATCCTATTAAACTTTTTTAAAACCTTTTCTCTTAAATAAAAAACAACAAAAAAGGAAGCAGTTGGTCATAGTCCCTAAGTATCTACTTGGAGTGAGAGTTTCTGATGATATGGAACTTTTTAATTCAGTTGCAAAAGCATCATGCATTTAATGATGTGAAAGGGAGAGCAATTAAGCACTGGAACAACATGTCAAAGGATTTGTTGTCTTTGAAATAGTTAATGCAAGACCAGATGCCTTTTAAGAAAAGATGTAGCAGTTCAGCTGTGATGGGCTGGATGCAGGAATCATTAGCAATTTGCTGGCCTTTTTATGCAGGTCATTTTTGATGATAATTACAGCTTTTCTATCTGAGGCTGAGCCCTCTCTTGCTGCCAGCAGCACGTGGCAGAGCTGTCGTTAGGAGAACCAGTTGCTTCCCCGTTTGTTCACAAGGTCACATTACTTGAAAGCTGTGTCTAAGAGTGCCTGTCTGAACCTGGGCTTTAAAGAGTGTTTTTATTGCTTGTTGCTTTTTGTTCCTTCCTTCCTTTTTGCTTGGATTCCTCTCTCTGGTTTGGTGTTTCAGCTGTGGCTTCAGAAGTCCTGGAAGAAGGGTTTTGCTGCGAGTGGAGCAGCACTAAAACGTTAGGGCAGAGCTTGTGATCTGCTGACTGGACTCTTGGTTTTTTGGAGCATCTCTGCCAAACCTGCCTCCTACTTGACAGTTGAGTGGACAGATGGATGGAGAGGTGGATAGAGTTAGGTCATCTGGTAAATAAGAGGACAACAGCAGTATAAAATCTTGAGTCAAAGTGGCAGCACTTACTCCACTCTGGTAACAGAGCAGCTGCTGTGGAAGGTGCAGCAGCCTGGGATGTGGGGCTGTAGGAACCTGGCTTTCATGACCAAAGGTGCTGGATGAGCCTTTGCAGTGAGTCCAGGCTTGAATCACAGAATCACCTTGGTTGGAGAAGACCTTCAAGATCACCAAGTCCAACCATTAACCTGACACTGACAAGTCCTTAACTAAACCCTATCCCTAATACCGCATCTGTATGACTCTTAAATCCCTCCAGGGATTGTGACTCCACCCCTGCCCTAGGCAGCCTGTGCCAGGGCCTGACAACCCTTTCAGGGGAGAAATTCTTCCTAACACTCAATCTAAACCTTCCCTGGCACAACTTGGGGCCATTCCCTCTTGTCCTAAAAGAGTGAGTGGAAGCTGCCTGGGTGCCTGGGAGCCTGGCTGCAGCTGCAGGGAGGGCAGGAGCAACAGCAGAATTCTGGTGGTTTTCGGCAGGAGCCTGTGGCCCTGCCCAGTGTCTTGTGTGACAGCTGGAGGGGGGGACCTGTGCTACCTGGGTTATAGTCAGCTGGGACAGGTCTTTTCCATGACAGTGCCCAGGTCTTTGCTGCCCATGGACCTACAGTGTCAAGTTAAAGCCTATGTTTTGTGTGCCAGGCCAGAGGAGGGAGCCTTTGCTAGGACTGGTTTGTGCCAAATGCCACCCAAAGGGAAGGATCCCTTCCCATTGCTGCCAGCTCTTCCAGTCTCTGCAGGACTCTGTTCTCATGCCTGCTTGATGTGACAGCCGTGCTCAGGGTGTGGGTCAGGGAACAGGGGTAGTTATTGTGTGTGTTCATCTTCTGCAGAGCCAACCAAATGCCTGTGTAAATGTGTCTGATCCTTTCTGTTGTCTGCAGTGGCTTTGGATCTGCCACTCTGCCAGGTGGCCTGTCACCTTCTGAGGCTGCAGCCTTCAACAGTGGAGCAGCAGCAGACTGGGAGTGTTGTGCAGTCTCTAGGCAGCTACATGATCATAGAATTATGGGATGGTTTGGGTTGGAAGGGATCTTAATGATCATCTATTATCTGCTGTGTGCTTTTGCTTTGAATGTGTGGTTCTGTCTTCAAATGAATGTGATTATGTTTGAGAGAAATGAATTACATTTATTTTCTTGGAGGTTTTTTTGCTGTTGTTTTTTTTTCATGGTTATTGGGTTTTTGGTTTGTTTTCTGTTTGTATTTGTGTTTTTTTTTTTAATGCAGGGGCTCAATTTAACTGCATTTTGTGTTCCAGCATGCAAATAAAGACCCCAAAGATGGGAGAGACAGCAGAGATCAAAAAGAATCCAAGGAGGAAGGCAACAAAAACATCTTGGAGTTTGGGAAGCCGTTGCCGTTGCCCTCTCTCCCGGGCCTTCACCAGTCACTACCTCAGAACCAGAGCTATGTGGCCACCACAAAGTCGCAGACAGGTAAGAAGGGTGGATCAAACCCCAGCAGCACCCACCTCCCAGATGTGTGTGTGTGGCTGAGTGGGTGATCACAGAATCCCAGAATTGTTCTGGTTGGAAAAGATCTTTAAGATCATCAAGTCCAACCATTAACCCAACTCTGCTGAGTCCAGTGTTAGACCGTGTCCCTCAGCACCACATCTAATGGCTTTTAAGCACCTCCAGGGATGGTGATGCAACCACCTCTCTAGGCTGCCTGTGCCAGTGTTTGATGACCCTTTCTGTGAAGAAGTTTCTTGTAACACCCAACCTAAAGCTCCCCTGGCACAACTCGAGGCCATTTCCCCTTGTTCTGTTGCTTGTTGCTAGGGAGAAGAGACCGACCCCCCCTCCCCTTGCTCCAACCTCACAAAATCACGGAATCATCCTGCTTGGAAAAGAACTTGAAGATCATCAAGTCCAACCATAACCTAAATCCGCCAACCATAACCTCTTCTCAGGTAGTTGCAGAGAGGCAGGTTAACAAGGACTGAAAGCTCTGCTAGTGCCTTTTTCCCACTGAATCTCCTCTGGGGCTCTCTTTCCTGCTGGCATCAGCCAGGCCTTGTTTGATGATGCTATTTCATTGACCTGCTTCTCCACAAGTGACCATTGCACTGCAGGGGTGAGGCATGTGTCCTCTGGACTCCTTCTGGTCACCTCTAGGTACTGTACAGGGTACACCCTTGCAGTCCCATGTTAGAATAACCTCTCAAGTCCTTCCTGTGCTGGAAGGGTGGAGGCCCCTCCCAGGTGGTGTCTCCATCAGGCACCACCACACCAAGGATCTTCTGCTGAAACTTGTTCTTAGAGGGAACACTTTCATCCCATCTTCCTGTGTGATATTCTGAAGATGTTTCTGTCAATTCTGAGGGACTTTGCACATCACCACAACTGGTCACCATAAGTTACATCCTTGTAAATCAATTTAATTGGGTTAACAGATTTTTGGAGAAGCCTCTCTGTAGATTTTTGGTGACATTTTATTGTAGTGGGGGATGAGGAAATGCTGTACAGGAGCAAACTGGAATGCTGGTGCTGAGGCTGGGTCTTCTCTGCTGTCCACTGCTCTTACAAGAGCCTACACTGAGCATCCTCCTGAAGTGTGCTCACCAGACACAGCCTCAGGCAGTGAGGTGTGGTGACTGGCTTCATTAGGAGGCCAGGAGGGAGATCTAACAAATAAAGACCCCATCAAAGTAGTGAAAGGAATCAAACAAGTTTCCATAGTCGGTGTGAAATAAGGTTAAATGGCAAATGGCTCTTTATCTAAGATACCTTTCTCCTGTGTGTTCCTATTAGTATATGACCACTTTCATTGCCATTGGTATCATTAGCCTTGCAGAGTCTGTCTGAGCAAGCTGGGTTCTATTCAGCCTCCTATGGCATCAGCAATGCTGCCAAACACAGGCTGATTTAAGGATTATGGAGATGTGGGGCCAGAGGAGTGCAGAGAGGTTGCTCACCATTTGGGTGGGTTTGCAGCCCTGGCAGAAGGTGCTTTGTGTGTTTGCACGTGTGTGTGTGTGTGGCATCTTTGGGTTGACTTCTAAACAAATCAGCTGGAGTGAGAAGCCTGATCCTACCCTCGAATGTGATTTGGATGTTGGACTAGTTGTTCTCCAGAGGTTCCCCCAGTCCCTAACATTCTCTGATTTATAGTCTCAACTCTCTATCCCTCCTTCTCTTCATGCCAGAGCAAACCTTGGGTTTCTTTTGCTTCTCTTTTCCAGCTGCTGCAGTATCTCGGAAGAAAAAACGGAGAATGGGAACCTATAGCCTGGTTCCCAAGAAAAAGACCAAAGTGTTAAAACAGAGAACAATGATTGAGATGTTTAAGAGCATAACTCATTCCTCTGCAGGTGCCAAGGTGAGGGGAGCACTGAGCCCACTGGACATGTTTGTTGTCACTGTACACGTCCCTGGTCTTGGCACTCCAAGCCCTGTACAGGTGCAGGATCATGCTGGGTTGGTGCAGTCAGCATCTTCTGTTCTGAGCCTACATTTTCTCTCTGGCAGCAGCACCCCACCCATGGCAGCCTTACTGCTTTGAAAATGGCTTTTTTTGAGGGTGGCTGTTCAGATACCAGCTCTTAAACAAAGGTTTTCCAGGGAATGTTCCCCTCTGTCCTGTGGAACTGGAGGGGTTTCAAGCACACCCCATGTGGTAACCTTTTTGTTTCGGTGTCCTCAAGGTAACTCCCTGTTGCTGCTGCTTGAGGCTGAATGGCAAAACAACTGGTGACTTGAAAAGGTTTAGACAGAGACTTCTGATCAAATTCTGCTTGTGCTGCAACCCATACTCTGAAGCTTTGGTGTTTGAATTGAAGGAGAACAGTGCTAGGCTTTCATGGAATGGAGTAAGAAATCCCTCTGAGATTTAACTTCCCTTTCCATTCCCTAGAAACCTCCTTGCACCCTTGGTGAAGCTGCCCTTCCATGTTTGAATTAGGCTGCAAGGGTCTGGCTGAGGCTCCTGCCCAGCAGCCCTCCTCCCCTTAACACCTTGTACAACCATGTGAGTCTGGAATGACTCCTTGTGCTTCCTTGGTTCCCAGATCAACAGGGCTAGGTGACACGTGGCAGGCTCCCAGGCTGGCTTTGCTGGCAGCACTGAAGAGCTCTGGAGGGACACAGAGCCAGCTTTCCTCTGGCAGCACAGAGGTGGTCTGGGATGGATTCAGCTGCTCTGTCCTAGGAACTAATGTTTTCTCTGTGGCTTTGTGCTTGGACAACTTTCAGAGTGACAAGGACCTGGGTGATGCCAGCCCTCACGTGAATGGGGAGAGCATGGATGTAGACTCTGAAGAGGAAGACTCTGATGAGTTGGAAGAGGAGGATGACCACGGAGCAGAGCAGGCAGCTGTGTTTCCTGCAGATGATAACAGGACCTCTAAAGACAGTGCATCCGATGCAGACAACGCCAGAAAGGTATTCACATGCCCTGGGCAGGACTGGCAGGGCTGGGCTGGGACACTGCTGGTCCACGTGGGGTGGGAGTGGCACCAGTTGAGGCAATTTCTAGTTTTTCTTAGCCTGCAAGATGGCAGAAAACCCAGCAGTGCTAGTGGGGCTTTTTGATTCCTTGTTCCCCACTGCACCCATCAGGGTCTCCCCACTTACACCTCAGTTTCAGCCTTGCTAGGTAAGTCTGTGCTCCATGATCCCTGCAGAACTCCCAGCACCTTCAGTGGGGACTTCACTGAACCAGTGAGAGATCTGCCTGTGATGGCTGGTAAAGCACTAAAATTGGTTTAGTTCATTTTTTCCAAAATCATGATGGTGTAGGTATGAGGCTGGTTTTAGATAATCAAGGAAGTGTAGACTTGGTTGGAAAACTTCCTTTTAGGGTCCAATGTTTTTTTCCCTGTATCATTCCCATGGATGTACCATGATGTACATTAACAGCCTTGGAGTTTGTGTCCTGGAGAGGAGAGAAATACTGTTCATGTGTGTGCAGGCTGGGGCTGGGGGGTGGGCACAGCAGGATGATGGGGGGATGCCCTGGGAGGATGGCTTGCTCTGTGGGGGCACAGCAGGATGAGGGGGGGATGCCCTGGGGGATGTTTTGCTCTGTGGGGGCAGAGCAGGATGAGGGGGGGAATGCCCTGCTGGGAGAGACTTGACCTGACTGACTCTTTCTGTTCTTGGGGAAATGGTGGCTGCAGATTGATGATGGCGAGTCTGAGGAGGAACAAGAGTCTGGAGAGTCCATGGAGGATGAGGAAGATGGGGATGAGTCTGACTTGGTAAATCTGGCTTCTAAATGTGTTGTTCAGCCTTTGTCCTGTTGATGATGATTTCCCCTTTGCACTGCTGCCAGAAAGAGAGGGAGTGAGGCAGCAAGCTGGGTAGTTTCATGTCTCTCTGACAAAACTCTCTCTCTGAAACCACCCACACACCGAGTATTGTTTTCCACAAGGTGCTTAACCCTGATCTGTGATACAATTAAGTGCTTTCTGATGCTAATTAATATAGGCTTCTATTTGTTGTGTTCAACAAAAGCGTTGACTGCTTTTAATCATTCAAATGTTAGCTGAAATATTTCAGAATGCTGAAATTCTTCAGATGCAGGGTTGGCAAGTGGTAGGAACCAGCAGAGTTTTTGTCACCACCTGAAGCTCTGCAAGGCTTTTTGGAGCTCAGGTGTTGTTCACAATTCCGTGGGCCCAGCCCACAGCCTAAACTCACCTTGATCTGAGATGCCACCTCATGGTACCAGATGAGCAGCCCCTCCCAAGGACACATACACACAACACAAAGACAGACAGACAGACCCTCCCTAGGAAGTTGTCTGTGTAGTGCTAGGGCAAGACTTTCACCAGCTGGTTTTATTTTTAGATGGCTGGTGAAGATAACCTGATTTAAAAAAAATAAAATTAAATTGCTGTTCATTGATTGTCTCTGTCCCCCGTACTCCCCTTTACTTAAAAATTTTGCTCCCTTTCCACAGCATCTCAAGTTGAGGAGCCAGCATTTAAGGCACCCCAACTCTTCAGTCACCTTGAGAAAATTCTTGGCTTCATTTTCTTGATGTTTTGAGCTGAAGGTAGAAATGACTGTACCAAATAAATTGCTGAAGCTCTTTAGGGTCTTGTTCCATGTGCTCTTGACACTCCAGGAGCCAGAGAGGACCAAGCAACAGGGCTGTGTAGCCTTGCCCCTTTCTTTGGGTGGCTGAGGCCAGGCTGTAGCATTAGCTCAAACCAAGGGTTGAACATGCAGTCAAATCCAAACTCCCAAGTCATAACTTCACATCCTAGATGGTGGTTTTTACTCTGCTCGTAGCTGGTGAGTCAGTCAGTTCCCCAGACAGGGACTGGCTCAAATGCAAAACCTCTCCCCCACAAGCAGTCTGGTGCAATTGGTGGAAGCCACGTGGTGGGGCACAAGAAGCCCACACTGGGGACTTGGCTCAGCACCACGTGTGCCTGGCTTCCCTCCCTGGCAGAACTGGGCATGGTGCACCATCGGCTTCCCGGGAAGGTAGGGCCTGATCCAGCTGCTGTTAATGGTAGTGGGAGGTTTTCCGTAGGCTTTGGTGGGAGGTGGATGAGCATCAGGAGCTGACAGTTTCAGCTGGAATGTGACTCTGATGGCTGACCCCTTGAAGGCTGCCTTACAGGGTTGGGGTGCCTGATTCCCTGTTCTGATGTTGGCTTTGAAAAGCCTCCCCAGACAGCGGGTGTCTTTTTTCAACCCAAACCCTGTTTAGGTTCATACATATGTCTGAATATTTGCTGTTTGGTTGGTCCCTTCCACCCTGTACCTTGCTCAGGGAGGGGGGCTGGTCTACTGCTGTAGAGTTCAATTCCCACAGGTCCATCCCAACGCTATAAGGTGGCTCTTCAGGTGCAAGGTGGGTTTTTGTTGGCATTTTCCAGCGTGACTGTGGAACAGCGTGAATGTGTCGTTTGGAAAAAAGCCCCACAACAAAACCTCACATTTTTTTCTGAGGAGAAGCTAAAAAGTGTGTGTATGTGTGGCTGAATACTTGCTGTGCAGAGGTGCTAATGTGATGAGCCTGTGTGGAAGAGAAAGTGAAGCATGCACGACTGAAATGACAGGAAATACACCCACACGTGGGCCTGGGTTTCCTTTACGGAGCTGCAGAGACATCTTAGCACCACTTGGTTGCCAACCCCCCAGTCCTGCAGGCCTCTTCACACAGCTCAAGCTGTGAGGAGGCTCTTTCACATGGGGGCAGAGGGCTGCTGGGGTGCTGGTGCCAACATGCCTTACATGCACGTGGCCTCTCTGGTTCTTCAGAGCTCAGAGTCCAGCATCAAGAAGAAGCTGCTGAAGAGGAAAGGCAAGATGGACAGTCCATGGCTGAAACCCACCCGCAAGAGGAGACGGAGGAATAAAAAGAAACAAGCTGGTGTGCTAGGTAACTAATTGTGTTTTGTTCCTTAACTGCACAGAAATGAGCCTTCCAGGTGGAAGGGTAAGGACCTGAGGCCCATAAGGGAGTGGCTGGCTGCAGAGCTCACTCTTCCCTTGGAAGAATGGGCTGTGTGATAGAGCAGGGTGTGAACTGGCACCTCACTGGCAGCAGCTGCTGCTCTGCACACTGACAGCACAGTTCCTGTGAGCTGGCTTTACCCTTGCCATGCTGGAGGGGTGTCTTTTTGTTTGTGATGAACTCCTTTGATTTTAGAGTCTCCAGAAAAAGACCTCATCCCATGAGCTCAGGGTGTGTGGGTAAGTGCAGAAAGGAAATGAAGAGCCACCTCAGAGGTGATGCTCAGTTACTTTTGTGTGGCTCCTTGTCCAGCTGAATGGGAGGTGCAGCTTGTTTTTGCTTGTTCTGAAAGCACCATGATGTGTGTAGTGAGCTACCTCTGGCCCATCTCATGATGTAGGTGTTGTTCAGATGGTCACTGTTGTTTGACCTAAGTTACCCAGTGCTCAAAAGGTTTCGGTGACCTTCTGAAAGCTGGGGGGTGGGGAGAGCCAGCAGTGCAGGCTGGATGTGAAACTTCTTCAGGAAAGGTAACAACATGGGTAGAAAAAAGTGTAAAGTCTCTGAAGTGAAGCTCTACCTTCAGCTGGGTTATTAAGGTTCCACATACTCGTTGCCACCAAAAGGTTTCTTTTTCTGTGCTTGCTAATTTGTTGCAAACAGACCATTTTTCTATCAGCAGATTTGTGGCTCCTTCTGAGCTAAATGACCATGTTTCAGCCTCTGGTCTGTGCCCAGGGTTTGTCAGACATCTGGGTTGCTCCTCTTCCTCCCAAAGCACCCCCTTTCTCAAGATGAAGTAGGGACCATCAGAGCAACTTGCTAATTCTTCATTGCAGCAGCAGACTGGTTTTCTGACCCTTCAGTAAAGGTGGTGGCCAGTTTTCCAGGCTAATGGAATTCTCTTGGGCAAGCCAGAGTGGGAGAAGCAAACCAGGAGAGAAAGCAAAGCCAAGAAAGTGTGAAGAGACTGACAATTCCCACAGAGGCTCCAAGGGGTCTGAGTTGGGGATCCTCATGGAGTCTCTTCCCAGCTGGTGATCCCCATACAGTCTCTTTCCTCCCAACTGGGGATCCCCATGCAATCTCTTCCATCCAGGGATCCCCACACAGTCTTTTCCCAGCAGCAGCTTTCTTCACTTAGAGCCAGATCTTGGCTTACATGTGTTCCCCTCCCATGAAGTGGGATGTCACCTCTCCTGTCCTCTTCCCACCATCCATGACCAGCTGGTTTGCTCTGCCTGGCCAGGCTGGAGCCCTTGGCAGCAGGTTGGAGACAGGGATGTACAGAGCCAATGGTGCCATTTGAGCTTGCTGCCAGGGCAGGATGGCAGCAGGCAGATGTGCCTTTCAGAGGCAGAACTTGTCTCATTTATTCCTTTCTTTTCTCGTTGCCACCTCACCAAGAGGCAGCTCTTCTGGGGGGGCAGGTGGGTCTGGCAGGTCCTGCTGCCTGTGCCCAGATGTTGCATTTTCATAATTCTCTGCATCTGTTCTCTCTGAGGCCTCTTTGAGGAGCCTGCACACAAGCCTGCTCGCTTCAATATGGCCCTTGCACCTGCACGTGCTTGCCCACCACTTATTTATGGTATTAATGTTTAGGATGGTTGTTGTTTTGTGGGTTTTTATTCACTCTGGGAATCTGCTCGCGTCCCCCCCGCAGGTGCTGAAGCCTATAAATCATCTTTGGCAGGCAGAGAGGGCCCCGGCCAGGAGAACAGCATGGAGTACATGGAGGTGTCCCTGGATTCCCTGGACCTCCGGGTGAAGGGCATCCTGTCTTCACCGGCGGGAGGTGAGTGGGGA